GGCGGGGCCGCTGCTGCAGGCTCTGTGCTCCCCAGTGAGACCGGCTGCGTGAAGGACAAGCGCCTGGCCATGAAGGGGGGCATCCCGGGGAAGTTCAAGCTTCCCAAGGAGTTTGCTCTGCCCTGTCCTTCCTGAAGACATGCCCCCCCCTCCCCGCCCCCCAGTGTGCCCAGCAGGAGACGCAGTCTGGCTTTTCCTAATGAGCACTTTGCTGCCTTTCAGCTCAGGAAGTTGTGAGACAGAAAACATAGTGGGCTCAGAGGTCGATGTTTCGGGGAGATTTGTTTTTCCTGGTAAGAACGTTGTCCTGTTGTTGCAGGTACAACCCCGTGGCCCTGCACACCAGCAACGTGGCCTTGCTGCTCCCACTCGGTTCCTTGTGCTGTTCTCTGCTGTTCCCTGTGCTGTTCCCCACTCTGTTCCCCACTCTGTTCCCTGTGCTGTTCCCCACTCTGTTCCCCACTCTGTTCCCTGTGCTGTTCCCCACTCTGTTCCCCACTCTGTTCCCTGTGCTGTTCCCCACTCTGTTCCCCACTCTGTTCCCTGTGCTGTTCCCCACTCTGTTCCCCACTCTGTTCCCTGTGCTGTTCCCCACTCTGTTCCCCACTCTGTTCCCTGTGCTGTTCCCCACTCTGTTCCCCACTCTGTTCCCTGTGCTGTTCCCCACTCTGTTCCCCACTCTGTTCCCTGTGCTGTTCCCCATTCTGTTCCCCACTCTGTTCCCTGTGCTGTTCCCCACTCTGTTCCCTGTGCTGTTCCCTGTGCTGTTCCCCATTCTGTTCCATGTGCTGTTCCCCACTCTGTTCCCCACTCTATTCCCTGTGCTGTTCCCCATTCTGTTCCATGTGCTGTTCCCCACTCTGTTCCCCACTCTGTTCCCTGTGCTGTTCCCCACTCTGTTCCCTGTGCTGTTCCCTGTGCTGTTCCCCACTCTGTTCCCTGTGCTGTTCCCTGTGCTGTTCCCCACTCTGTTCCCTGTGCTGTTCCCTGTGCTGTTCCCCACTCTGTTCCCTGTGCTGTTCCCTGTGCTGTTCCCCACTCTGTTCCCTGTGCTGTTCCCCACTCTATTCCCTGTGCTGTTCCCCATTCTGTTCCATGTGCTGTTCCTCACTCTGTTCCCCACGCTCCTCGCCACGCTCCAGACGTTCCCACTTTCCAATAAACCTGCCACCCTTCAAGGGCTACTCTAGTCCCCCCGCCCCCGGGCATTGTGGACGGGTCTGGTGGGTGTGGAGAGGAGGGAGTCTGACCCCCAGGGGTGCTGGTCTGCACAGCCTCGCCCCTTCTGCTCGCTCCCCAGGCCACAGGGAGATCCATGTGATCGACACGGACTACGAGCGCTACGCCATCCTGAGGCTGTCCCTCCACTGGCAGGGCAGGGCCTTCCACGTGCTCAAGTACTTCAGTAAGCGCCTGGCGGGCCCTGGAGTCCTGCTGCCCCTCCCCTAGCCCCCCTCAGC